ATCTCACCATGGTCCACAAAGGCACGCAACACAGCAAGAGCCACAAAAGGAAAGAGGAAGAGACCCAAAAGATAGGGAATAAGATATGCAGATTGCAGAAGGTGGAAATAAGATATGCAGAAGGGGGGAGTGAGAGATGAGTAAGAAATATAAAAGGGGAGAGAGACACAAAAATGTGTAAGTTGCAAAAAATGGCAAGTAAGAGGAAAAAGGGGAGTAAGAGGGTAAGATACACTCTGGGTTCCAAGTAAACTAAGTCCACCTATGCACCCCAATTAAATGAGCAATTTAACGTTTATCTAATATATTGTCAAATTGGCAACATATGAAATAAAAATGAATCCCTGGTGGTTCAGTGCTGGTGCCCATGGTTTGTACTTCTGGCCAGTGCAGACCATTTTAATCACTTTATCTTGGTTCAAGCGCACAGTTAGGGAGTCAGAACACAACCATCGAGATTCCCAGTCTGCTCTCTGACTACCTCACTGACTACCTCACTGATCACCAGAACGAACAAGTAATACACACTGCCCTAGGCAGAAAAGTGGACCATACACTTCACCACTGGACCAAGGGATTCATTAATCTCATCATCGGACCACTAGGTATTCATTAACCCCCACCCCACCAGACCATCAGCTATTCAATAAACAACCAACAGACCACCAGGGATTCATTTACTCCCTCCTCTATTGGACCACCAGGCAGGGCCGGATTAACATAGGGGCTGATGGGTTGCTCTTAGGTTTGCCACCTGACTGGTATTTTACTGGCACAGCTGGTATTTCAGGTTGCCTGACAGTAATACCGGCAATACAAATGCAGGTATTTTTCTCAGTATAAACAGAGATTACTCTGCAATACCAGCACCGACCAGTAGGGGTCACTGTGTGTGGAGAGAGGCAGAGATAGGAAGTTACAGTATATCCCTGCCTCTCTCTACTACTCACTGCTCCGTGGGGGAGCAGCTACACAGCACAGAGAGTCCAGACAGCAGCTCTACAGCTCAGGTAAGTGAGGGATGGGGGGAAAGGCAGCAGGGAGACATGGGGACACTGAGACACTAGTGGACACAGACACTAGGGGACACTGGGAGACCTGGGACACTGGAAAGCATGCGGACACTGAGGCACTAGCGGACACAGACACTAGGGGACACTGGGAGACCTGGGGACTCTGAAAATCATGGGGACACTGAGACACTAGGGGACACTGTGAGACATAGGGACGCTGAGACACATGGGGACATTGGGAGACACTGAGACATTGAGACTTGGAGACACTATGGATACAGTGTCCCGATGTCTCCCAGGTCCCCAGCCAGTGTCCCTAGTGGCTCAGTGTCCCCATGGCTCCCAGTTTCCCCTAGTCTCCAAGTGTCTGTGTCCCCATGTCTCTCAGTGTCCCTAGTGACTCAGTGTCCCCATGTCTACCAGTGTCCCCATGTCTCCCAGCCAGTGTCCTCAGTGTCCTCCATGTCTCCCAGTGTCCCGAAGTCTCCCAGTGTCTGTGTCCCCATGTCTCTCAGTGTCCCCATGTCTCCCAGTTTCCCCATGTCTCCCAGTGTCCCCTAGTGTCCCAGTGTCTGTGTTCCCATGTCTCTCAGTGTCCCTAGTGTCTTAGTGTCCCCAAATGTTTCATTGTCCCCATGTCTCCCAGTGTCCCCATTCTGTATCCACAAGTGCCCCCATGTCTCCCAGTGTCCCCAAGTTTCTCAGTGGCCCCATGTCTCCCAGTGTCCCCAAGTGTTTGTGTCCCCGGGTCTCTCAGTGTCCCCATGTCTCACTGTGTCGCCTAGTATCCAAGTGATATGGGGACACACTGAGACATGGGTACACTGGGAGAAATGGGGACACTGAGACACTGGGAGACTAGGGGACTGGGTGACATGGGGACACTGGGTGACTTGTGAGACTGAGACACTGGGAGACAGGGAGACACTGGGAGCAATTCATCTATACAGCAGAATCAAACTGTGAGTAGTTTGTTGGCGATTTTACAGAATTTTCTCTCATGTCACTCCTTGTGAGTTACAGCATGAGATGTTACACATAACTAATTAATTATACAAATTATTTAGGCTGGTATTTTTTTCCAAGAAAGGTGGCAACCCTAACTACTCTTCACATACTCTTGCTTAAAGGAACACTATAGGGTCAGGAACACAATCATGTATTTCTGATATACATGTATATCATGTATAAACACCATGTATAAACACCATCTAGCCCCCCTGGCCCTCTCTTGCCTCCCTAAATATAGTAAAATCTTACTTGTATTCAGGTCTGCAGCTGCTGGCTCTGCCTCTGAACTGACTCTGTCTGCTGACATCATCAGAAGTGGTGGTCTGAGCAAATTACAATGCTTCCCCATAGGATTGGCTGAGACTGTCAACAAGGCAGATCAGGGGCAGAGCCAGCACAAGTCAAACATAGCCCTGGTCAATCAGCATCTCCTCATAAAGATAAATTGAATCAATGAATCTCTATGAGGAAAGTTCAGTGTCTGCATGCAGAGGGTGGAGACACTGAATGGCAGTGCTGCACACTAGGCAGTACTGCCCCAGGAAGCACCTCTAGCAGCCATCTAAGAGGTGGCCAGTGGAGGTTTTTCTCTCTGAAAAGACAGTGTTTACTGCAAAAAGCCTGAAGGGAATGGCTACTTACATGAACAAATACAATAAGCTTTAGTTGTTCTGGTGACTATAGTGTCCCTTTAAGTTTGGAAGCTTAAGAGGGGTGTATGGCAACAAAACTTGTGTGGACTGGCTGACAATAAAATTAGTTTAGGTAATGCAGACTTTGGTTTCTCTAACACTGTGGCATGTCCCCTTTCTTCTACACTCACTACATACACCTTTACTCTGTCCCAGACTATTTACAAGGAACTTCTGCCTGCTAATAAGAAGGTAAGGAAACAAGTGGACACATGAGTGCTAGGGGACAGTCCTTAGAATAGAAAGCGTGGAGTAGGCACATCATTTGATGAATTTATGTCAAGCTCAAGGTGCTGCCTGCATAGGATGCCCTTAGTTGGACAGCCTGCATGATTGGCAGGTAGCCTGACATGCATTTATGCCAGGCTGGCCTTCCAATTCTTTGGACAAACATGCACCCTTTTTGGGCATGTTCACCCCTTTTGGCAGGTCTGATCACGTGATTCGCGCCAGTGGTACACCCTTTTACCCCGTCCATTGACTTCCTGCTTCACTGGACACTGCTGTTAGGCGGTATGGATTTACGTGAAAGATCAAAGCATAAATTAGAGAGAGATTAGCATAGAGTGTATGTTTTCATATAGCTGCATCCTTTGATTTTCCCTCTAACACCATCTCCATCAGATACATGACGCTTGGGAGGTATGATTGTTTTAGTGTTTTTGGTTGATAAGATTCTGTAATTAGGCCCATCATAATTGTCAGCACTAGGCCTACTGGGCTCTTAATCTGGCCCTGCCACCAGGAGATGCAGCAGAATACAAATTTGTGGGAATTTTACAGGTGTTAGCACACATAACACCTGTAAAATTCACTTTTATATTTCTAAATGTATGTGAAAAAAATAAATAATAAAACACAAAATTACTGTTAAATTTGGCAGGAATTGGGCCTGAAATGGCAAAGTGAAGAATAGAACCCAAGTGGTATTTGTTTGCAAATGGTATACTATACTGAGAATTATGTGCAGTTGGGGTGCTATTTTATCCTGAAAGTGTCATGGGCCTAATATATCAATAGGTAAAAATTTTAAAACTGAAATTGGCATGTGTGTAATTTGACCCTATAACTTCTCAGAAATCTGTTAGAGGCCTATATGGAATCATATTTGGGTACTCTTGGCTGGTAGCTGAATACATATATAGTAACTTTACAATGGTAAGACACACATGATCTGTAAAATTCTCAATGAAAATAAAACATTAGTGTGAAAATCACAAAAAAATAGAAGTTGGTAATAAGATGGTTAAACAAACAAAAAAAAAAGCCAAAATGCTCTTATATATACTTTTGTGCAGCGGTTTTAGATTCTGTGACTGCTATTAAAGTTATACAGGTTTATTTACTACAGTAAGAATTCAAAGTTAATTCAAAGTGAATTTCTTATTTTAGGTAGGCCAAAGTAACCAATCTGAAAAAATCTAACTCTTTCCAATTCAGATATTTTGGCG